CCCCCCTCCTCCCGCCGCCGCCGGAGGTCGTCGGCGTTGATTTCTAGGGTTTGGTTGAGATGGGAGTTGTAGGGGTTGTAGATAGAGAGATTTCGGGGGGGAGAGGCGCGTCCTCCACTGATTTGGGTTCGGTGTGTGGTGACGGTATTAATTGTACCCCTCTTTTTTTTTTGGGTGTTTCTAGGGTTTATCTGTAATGAATTTGTTCCCGTGAGACTGAAATTTGTTGGATTTTGGTTGATGATATGTGATAAAAATGGGTAAAATATAGTTGCCGTTGTCTATGATAATTTTGTGTGTTGGTGCGTTAACGATTAGAGGATGAAGGTGCCATAAATTGGTCTGAAGAGCAGAGAAATTATTTTATATTGTGATTTTTTGTTGCTATGATGCATTTATTCATATGGAATTTTCATATGTAATGTTATAAATTAGTGTTTAATTTCTATATTCTGGGAAAATCGTTTTTAGGCTTTGCACGTCTGTACATAAATATCATATAAATATTATACGGTTCTGCCGATCGAATCGAATACTAAGGTGTTCGTATTTGTATTTGTTTAAAATTATCGAATTCGAATGCATATTTTAATATTCATATATGGAGTTTTTCGAATTCGATAATTTGATAAATATTCAGGAATATTCACGAATACTTCTCGAATAATCAAAGTTTTTTTTATTTCCGCTAAAGAATTTGATTTTTAAATGACATTTAAATTCATAAATAAAAATTATTCCTTTATAATATATAATGCATGCATATTTAAATCAAAATTTTCATTAGAAAATAGATTTAAGATTATTTAAGTCTAAAAATTAGTACATAAAACTTAAGTATAAATGGTAAATAGGTTAAAAATATGACATCATATGTGCAATAATACAAATAATAAGTGATCAAATTTTAAACGAATATTTGATAGACAAACGAATCGAATATACATCTGGTTAAATTCTATTCGTTACTGAACTCGAATACTAAAAAATATTTGTTTAGTGGTAAATGAACTACCGAATCGAATATGACCGAATAGTTACTCGAACAATTATCGAACTATTTGTTTAATTATTTGGTTCATTTCCGCCCCTACCTACAGCCTTGCAAAAAGCGTATCAGATTTTCTTGCATCTTTATTGTGAAAAGTTCCTTTTCAAATTTTTTTTTTTAAACATTTAACACTTCGTCGCTATAATTTCTTTGTAGGTAAATCTTTGACACATCAAAATCTGCCCCTATCACCAAATTTAGCATAAGATGGAAAGAAATGCATAGGGAGTTTCTTATGGTATTCGCCCACTATCACCTCCAACCGGTTCTTTATCTTCTTCACTAAGCAACGAACAAAACCAGCCGGTTGGTTTCTCGCCGTCTCGAGCTGAGCCACGTTTTGCGCACATGCGTATTGACAGTAACTTGGGGAGCACTATCTACAGTGCCCACGCCTTTTTCATGCTTTGCAGTATCGGATAGTAGTACCTAAAGCTACAGTGTGAAAAGCTGTAGCTAGTCGTGGTGTATCACCGTCTGCAACCACACAATTAACACGTATCGAAATGGCCGTCACGTGACAGCCACTTTCCTCTGGACCTGCCCATCATGATTTTTAGGGCGCGTTTGGTTGGAATTTTTTGAGCCCGAAAGCGCTCGAAAGCCTAACACCGTGTCAGGCTTTCGGGCAAAAACGCCTCTTTTAGAGACGTTTTTGCCCGAAAGTCTGAAACAGATGGGACATAGTGTCAGGCTTTCGGGCCTTTTCACACCCAAAAACAACCAAGCAAACGCGCCCTTACTGAATTTTCCTTAAAATGAATTCAAGGGTGGAGGACTTCCATGCCTTCATCAAACTTCAACATTTACAAAAAGATTAACAGGGGGTTTTGAGCAAAGTGGGGGAATGAGAAAGAACATGATGTTTAAACAGAGGCTTCGAGTTGTTTTTATTCAGAGGAGCAAACTTGGGGAATGAGAACATATTAATTACACGTTGTATACCATTTGGAATTGTGAGGGCGGCATGGTCACGAATCTGTCAAGGTGTTAGGCTCGGTGGGTGATGCCTTGTTGCCCGGCTCAGAGAGATCGGAGCCTAACGATGACCGGTTACCGCGCGGAGTTGGGGTCCGGTGGTGCCTGCAGCGGAACGAGCCGGCGTGGGTGGTCGGCGAGCAGAGGCAGTTGCTTGACGTCTGGCTCATCAGCTGCTTAGTCAGGATAGGGCTGGGTTTTTGACAGTGGGCCGCAGGCGTGTTGCTTCGCTCGGCTTGCATCTTTTTTCTTCTCTGGGTTATTCCGATCTAATGTCAGTTGTATGCAACTGCAGTTATTGTAATTTATGACATATGTCATTATAGTCATAATTTGAACGTATTTTCAGCTCAAAAATAATGCAATTGTTAATTTAACTTCAAATGTGTGTTAAGTCGTTGGCTGTCACCGGAAGCATTTCTACAAATTGCAAATGTGACTTGCATTTATCAGCTATTCCAGTAGTTTCAACGCTTGCGGTGGTAAAATGGATCAGCTTGTCTAAGCCAAAACTCGATTAGTTTAAGATCAGATAGGTGATCTTTATTAAAAGCAAGAGGAGAAGAAATTGCATTCTATAAACATGAGAACGAACAACTAAATAAAATAAACAATATTTTTTGATGAGAGGAAAAAAACGCAAAACTTGTCAACTACCAATTATTTTAGAGATCAAGATCCAACTCATGAACTAGATTGATTAGGATGTCTATGGTAATTCAAATGATGTGATTAGAAGAATGGGGGATAGTAAGATAGAGAATCTATTTTCTTTTAGAAGAAATCAAATCATAGACAAACACAGGAAACAAACAAATAAAAATCACGTCATCTGTTCATTATATAATACGGTCCAAGGACTTTAAGATGGGTAGAGGCCTTTTCAAATTATCGTTATAAATTGTGATTAGAGGATAATCATGCATTTTAATATGTAGCCTAACTTTGGAATTTTGTCTTAGAAAAAGAGGGAAGAAACAAGACTTGGTGGGGGGGGGAAAATCAATAATATAAACATGTAACACATGCATGCACCTTGGTGCTTTTCAAAGGTTGATAAACTTTAAAGAGAAAGAAAACATTTCAATTTTCTTTATCTTACATAGTAGATAATTGCCATTTGATCATGTGAGATGTGAAACTGCCAATGAACTAATGAAATGAAAATTACCTGTTGTTCTAGGAGAAGAGAACAAGAAAAAGAGGACAAGAGGAAGATAGCTGATTGCTAGAAACTTATTGTGTAATGAATTCCAAATCCAAAAACAGGGCAGAATTTAGACCATATGTTCCTCTTTAATTCCTCAAATTAAGGAGCACCCTCATATAATTACGATAATGTTCCCTAATTAAAGTTCTCACACCAGCTCATTTTCATTCACAGAGAAGGAAACAGATTCCTATTGTGTAGCTAATTTGTTACGAGTTAAATAGTAGCTTTGGTGTAGTTGAACAAAAAAGGTCAACATATGGTAAAAGATCCGTTGATAAGTAGATTTGGTGTATTTGCACCCAAAAAAAAAAAAAAAACTACGTATGGTAATATCAGTTGACAAAGCTATGTTTACTCTTAGCCACAAGTATTTGTGTGGTCCCTGAACACCATAAATATATATTCAATTGTTTAAAATTTTGAGTATCAAAATTAAATTGCATTAAACAATATTTTCTACAAAATATAATATGGACTAAAGAATTTTAAAAAGAAAATTAAAAGATTTGGCCTAGTAATGGCTAAGTTAATTATGGATTTATGGTGATGCAAGAGATATTTTTGATGGTTACTAATTTATTGATTCAATTTGTGAAGATCGGGTGGAATTTTGTGGTAGCATGCCTACTTAAAAATAATAGTGCTACCAACTGTAGACAGATTCTCACATGATTTCACATCGTGCACGAAGTTGAGTCCTCATTGCGAGATATTATCTTTCTTCAAGCTCTGCTGAGGTTTAAAATCTAGCATCAGCTTTATCCAAATTGAAATTTGCTAGACCGTTTGTGCAGATTATATCTTCGAAATGAAATCATATTCTATTTTTCAAATATATCTTGTTCCAAAACTCCACCAGGCTAAAACACTAAAAAAACAATTGTAAAGAGTAACATCTCTTTGGGTTCTACATATGGGTAAAAGGTTACGAAAAGCGCCTAGAAATTGCAAAGTTACAGAATGAATGATAATTGACTGATGCATATATTGCTAAGTAAGACATCGAATTGTGCTTACTGCAATTAAAGCAAATAAGAGAGAACCTACATGAACATCTTTAGATAAATCATCAGCATACAAAAAGAATAATTGTATAGCATTCAGAGGCAGTTACAGCACAGTTGAAGTACAACAAAACTTTGTTTCTTTTTTCCGTATAAATCAATAACATGAACTGAGATCTTGATGGTTACAAATAATTATCATCAGATCCTGATATTACAAGACACGTTGTCGTCCATCCTCCATTTTATTCTTTTTTTCTAATCTAGAATCTATAGATTAACAAAAGGCCAGAAGCCAAAGTGTATAGTATACATATGTGCAAAAGAATAAAGAACCATGTGGTTACTAACCTCTCAGGTATCAGATTCCTCCTTCATCCATAGTCTTGGCCTCTGTGTATGCTAACAAATTTAGCTGGTTCAACACTGTTGGAACTTGAAGCTCTGTGCTCTTTCAAAAGAACTCACAGCGTCGAAAGATTCCAAATCTTTGCTACGGGAGCCAAATTTTATGAAATTTGGTTCAGAATTCAATGTGGCACTTGGATTATCTTTTGCTTCTAGCTGATAGAATCAAGTATAATGGAGTCGCAGTATCTATTTACTTCCTGTTGTGAATTCCTTTTCAACTTGACGAAAGATTTCCTTAAGGCGAACAGATGAATTGGATATGACATTCTTTGTTATCCTCTTCTGATGTTTGGTGCTTTTCAGCCAAGAAATCCCCAAGGATACTTGAACATTGCATGCCTTGGACTTCGGTGAGAGATCCTCCACATGGTATCTTATATGAAGCTGAAAGAATTATGGGAAAAGTTCATTAAAAAGAAATAAAATGATGAATAAAATGCATAGATAGGTAGTTTCATACATCAAAATAATCGCCAAGAGGAATTCCTTGGAGCGTCATGACTTCTTCAATAACCCAACCTTTCTTATCGGGTAGAGAAGATTTTTGCTGCGTACTGGTCACTGTCCCTCCATAACGGGATAGTTTTTTGTCAAATGTGTATTGGACTTGCCTTTGGTACATATCACCTTTCACTAATTCCCAAGGAGTAATAGAATAGTCAACACAACCGACTTTCTCCATTACTCTATGTTCTACAGAACTCCCCTCAAATAACTCCATCAGCGATTTAATCTGAGGATGCAACAGAAATATTGTAGGTTGTATGTCATTACAGTTAATGATTGTGAATACAGAAGTAATGTAATACTGTGTGATAGAAAGAAATTAAAGACTCACGGGAACAGGGACAACAGAGGAGAAGACCTCAGACATTTTTGCTTCTTCAATGCCTAAAAATGATCCACTTTCTTCAGAGTAAAGAGTTTGTTCTTCAGATTCTTCTTCAACTATCTGCACTTTCTGTTCTGGACTCAAGGATCTTGCCTTCCACAGTGCCATGATGGTCCTGTGAACATGAAAAGATCCATTAAAATTCCAAAATCATTACATGAGAATTGGTGACCAAAGAGCTGGAAGGGAATAAAGTGAAAAACACTCAAAGGAAGAAAACAAATAAGGGAAACACATTTATTATTATTGTTATACAATACAAAAATGATAACATTAGTAGAACTCCTTTTCAAACATAAGATACAATAGACACAAATGCATGCACAAACTACAAAATTACAAATACATACATATATTTTACCTAAATCAAGAACAAAAGTGAAGTAGCAAGAAACAGTATAAATAAAGCACACTCTTGTCCCATCATCCATCCACCCTCACCCTTTTTGACAGGGATTTTACGTATTCAGATTATTGAGAATGTACCTATATCCCTAATAGTTATTATAACTTCTGGATGGCATTTCGAACTTTGAAGTTTATACTTATATAGATGAGTATTTAGCAACTTATTTAACACAATAATTGCTCGAAAGTCCTGCTTCATTTCCTAATATGATGTCAAAATATGATACAAGAGCGTCCAAAAATCATTACTCATCACGGAAACAATATAAAACATTAAACTAATCATTCAACCATAATTAACATTTAGTATTTAAAATGATCTGAGCATAATGTTTAATTTGCTAACTATGATGTCAAATAGAACAAAGTCATTCACAGACTATAATAACCAGAATTACAACATAAATAAATTCTAAAACATGGTTAAATATAGAAATTTTAAGTTCATGTACACATAAAACTGCAACTTTGTGATACTATCCTAGAAACCTTGGATGCATAATTCAGATTTTAGAGTATGCAAAATATATCTGAAACATACAATAAAATGTCACACCGTGAACCCATTCCTATCACCACACAAATATTCCTCTAATTTGAGTTTGATCAAAGGATAGATATTTGTGCATTACAAGATGAATAAAAAAAATTCCATTCACACTACTGGATACTTATTTTGTTTTAGACATTAGATTTGAGAGAAGAGGCACCTGTTGGCCACATTGAATGAAACGAATGACTGGAACTGAAATCGAAGTCTTCCATCCTTGTCAACTGACTTTGCTCCATGCCTTGCATCATGACCTCTGCCATGTCGAAGAATCATCATTAGTGATGGGCTGCCCATTGAAGACAGTGATGGAGGAACTACTTGAATGTCTTCAATGTCCTCCCAGAGAAAGAAGAACTTGGTCTTGTGCCCAAAGAGGTTTGTGTAAAAGCCAATTATTCTTGGAGATAGAAAGAGGCGACCCTGCAAGTACCACATATTAGCAATCAGAAGCCACATTGTGATATAGTCACAGCTCCGTGCACAAAAAACCTATCATCTATACTCCAACAAAGTATGCAACTGAATAACTGTTTACTGAAGATAACTATAAATCATTTTATACCATTTTTTTCACCTTGGCGACAAGTTGAACTGCTAGATATGACAAACTTTTGTGAGAACAAAATGTTTTACCATTGAAACTACAAATGCAAGCCAAGTAACCAACAATACAACAGTAAATTTGGAACTGTAACTAAAGGCTTCACAAGTGTATTTAAACTATTGCCAAGATAACAATGAGAATGAGAGGTTTTGAAACTTTTGAAATCAGTAGGTGGTTCCTCTAAAAATTTGAACTTCAGTCATATGGCTTCCTCTAAAAAACGATATCAGTGACAACTTCTTTCAGTATGAAGGCTTTTTAGATGGAAGTTTTTGACTTTTGGGATGAGAAGACTACCTGCATTGGCATTTTGCGTTTCAAGTGACAGGTGAAATCGTTGATAAGGAATTCTTCAGGCGGCAGATTGAAGATCTTCTGAAAGGCTGAATTTGTTTGAGGTGACCGAACATTTATCTACAAATCTCAACAAAATTTAGTCTAAACCGGAAAATATTAAAATCACTTCTTATGATGATAAAAAAGGAAAAGCTAATCACCTTTTTCCCAACTTCCTTCTCCATCTTTGTTAGATACCGCGTGACAACTTCATTACCCCTTGTGTTATTCAAGAAAACCCTCAAATGCAACTTAGACTGGCATGCCTGAGCCAATTTTCCTTGCAGTGGAATCCATACGTCAGCTAATTCGGATAAATTGGACTTCACAAAGTTGACTTCAGCACGACCAAGAGATATAGCTTCATCAAAAGGTCCATCAAAATCAAAGACCTCCACATCCATCATTGATGGAGGGTCATCCATTGCGTCAAATTCAAAAATCTCTGGAAAGTAAAATTAATTCAGAAAACAGAATATGCAATATGGTTCTTTTATGAGGTCTAGCAACATTTCACATGATACTTATGTGGTCCTTAAAAGTCTAACACAGTGGAGCTTTTCTTTCCAAAATTTTATCTTCCGAAGGATAACTTCCAAATAAGGGTGCATTCGGTCCGGATGCGGCTCGGATATGATGCTTAACATATCCATATCCACTTACCCGTCTCGGATACGGATAGGGATACGGATATATCTCGGTAAGGAAAATTCATATCCATAACCGCTAAAATCGGATACGATTACGGATATAGATACAGATATGCATGCGGATACAAAACGGATATGAAAATTAGATAGTATTGAGAAAACTAGATAGTATTGAGAAAAGTATAATTCATGTAATACAAAAGAGGTCGTTAATATGTTCATTATAACTAAAAAGCTAAGGCTAGACATATTGATCATCAAAATTAACCACATATCCATAATTTAAGAATCGAAACTATCATAAGAGTATGACTAATATGTATTCGAATATTTCGGATACGGATACGGATATTTCACTACAAAACCATATCCGTAACTATATCCTATCGGTTATAGATTTGAGTAACCATATCCGTATCCTAACGGATATGGTTACGCATATTTCCTCGGATACGGATACGGTTTAGCACCCCTACTTCCAAAGCATGATGTGATGAATTCTAAAAGTTAAACATGTATTCTGTGCAGCAAGATGAGGCCTCTACTAAAAACACATGATATGCCATTGAATAAAAAAGTAACAAAAACCTGTATCCCAAATATGTCTAGTTGAGCTGGTGCCTTAAGATATTCAAGACCCCTAATGGATATTCCTAAATATAAGTTAGTTCAGCATTAATCTTAACCCAGAATCAATGATGCCTTTTCATGTCAAGATGATCCCATACATTCAATCCCCTTAGCTTGAAAGTTAAAATGGCCATCTCCTGGGATATGATCTATATTGAATTTGAGGGTTGATAGAGAAAGTACGCAGAAGTATTCCCTCATAATGCACAAAAGTTACACAAGCAAATGACATTTTGACCAAAAAGAAAAACAGAAGAAAAAGTCATAGAATACATATCATGGGTTCTACATAGTAAAATCATTTAACCAAGGCTGTTCGAAGTGATCAAGATACCAAACTTATAAGAAAGAAGACAGAAAGGGTGTAAACTATCCTTTTTAAGGACCAGTATCATAAACAAAGTCACTGAAGGAAGAGAGAAAAAGGTTGTAGAGTTCAAGGAATGTACCATTCCACTGAGGATCTGGCGTCTGAAACTTGATTGAGCTTGTTTTTGTTTTATTATTGCAGGTAAAAACCACATAAGGATCTGAATAACCAGATGAATCTACTGCTGCTAAATTACTACCCTCAATCAATGCAACAGTTAGCAACCATCCATCTCCTTGTGCTCGTACTCCATGATCAGTACCTGTTTGGAAATAAAGTTAATTACATGCAAGGTTTTAAATATCGGATATCGGGAAAATATCGGATGGCTAAAATTCATATTGGATTGCTGATATCGGGGAAATATCAAGGATATGTGGTAAATAGATGTCATAACGAATATTTGCGTATATAGTACAATGCACTAAAATGTAATATCAACATACTCAATGAAATCTAGGCATACAAAATGCAAATAATATATGTTCAGGCTCACTAATCAATCTTGTGAAACAAATAAAAGTACAAATCAATATTGCAACAGGGCAAAATGTCATTTGATAAAATGGGAAAATCATGATATCTTGCCCAAAAATTGCCAAACATATATTGTTTTGCAACAAGGTATATCAAAGAATATATTAGTCAACATATTGGCCGATATATCGGCCATATCAAGAATACATCGCCCAAAATAGCCAAAAAGCGGTAAATGATATTTAGTGACCATATCGATTGCGACAAGCCCTTTAAAAGAATATAGTAGGGGATATATCGGGCCATGTCGGAGATATTTAAAACAATGATTACACGTTGTATATTATTCTAAATTAGCTTCTTTAGAAGTTAAGTAGTGGGACATTTTTTCTGAAACTCCATACATTGTCAAATAAATATAAAAGTAAACGCACATTTGAGGAATTTGCAATATGTGGACATTGCATTGTGAATAGATGAATTACCTCTTTGCTTCCTAGCTTGTATGTAACGCCCGATCATGTTCAAAACACGTTCTCCTTGAAGAACCAAAACCCCACAAACTACAACTTCTCCAATTGAGTCGGGCAAATCTAAACCAGCAAACTCAAGACCCTGGATTTTGCTAGGATTTGAAAGCAAAATGTGTACCATAACATACAAACTAACAATAAGAGTGGAAATAATGGTAAAATTTCCAAAGAACCGAAATGCTAGCTTCCAACCTGACTCTTGTTCTGTCTGCAAAGTGGCTAAGATTTGCTCTTTGCCAGACCCAGCATCTTTCAAGTCCAACGGTTTAACATTCTGGGATAGCACATCAGCAAACTGAGCATAACTGTCCTTTAGGCCTTGCCTCGCTCCATTTTCAATCATACCTTTCATCATTGTACTTTGCAGAAAATTCATGCGCCAGGATATTACCAAACGTGAGGAGGGCTCATTTGATTCTAACTCAGGACCGGGCAAAATGCAGAAGAGGACTTCTGTCTTGAAAGAGTTTCCAAAAGGAACATCAGGAGTGCTCACACTTAACAATACTGCATATGATTTTCCATCTGCCTTGAGAAAAATCTGCTCCTCTGTTGCTTTCACAGCCTTCACTAGTTTAGTTGCAGCTTTTGTGTATGAAATCACCCTTTTCAAACTCTTTCCACCATTTTCCAATTTCCAAGGTTCAGCTTGCAGACCTGTGGTGCCTTGAAGGTCAGCCAGAGATTGCAAAAAGTTGGAAGTTGGTGAGAATAACAGGGAGTTCAGATCAGTAGGTGCCACTGCATAAGACTGGTCAAGAAGAACTCCTCCAGATAAATTTCCAGGTATTTCACTCCCTTCGTCTTTTGACTCCATTACTTTCAATAATTCATCAAATGTCATGCTCGATGCAGCTTCATCAGTTTTTGTTATAGAAACCTCTGGGTTCATTGTTGCCTCCTCAGGGTCTTCAGGGATATCGATATCTCTGCTTGAAGTGGTCGCAGCTTCTTGATTTCTCCCAGTGAAAAACTGAAACATGCGGTCAACAAATGATGACGCGTCCAACTTTCCTTCAAGAGATTCAGAATTTTCAACCACCAGGACAGAAGATGATTCCCTTTTGTCATTTGAAAATGATGGAAGCGGTTCTCTTGTTAGTTCACTTGATTTATCTGAGCTTGATGTAACTTCATCAGAACAAGAATGGTATGTTTCAGGTGTTGCATTCTTGGAACTGCCCTTCTGAGACAATGATACACCCAAATGTATTTCTCCTGCACAAGGAAAAAGAGAATAATGACCATGATGGAAATGATCTTCATGTATGACATTGAAGGAGCACATAATTTCAGAAAACCTATTTGGTTAGATGAAGTTTAGTTTCATAAGGAAAGCATCTTTTCTATCATGGAATCAAATTAAAGCACCTGACAAAGTGCAAGGATGCTTACTCCTATTGTAATTTGTATGCCAATATATCCATCCATGCCAAGCTGCCAGTCAAGAAAATCCCTTATGAAAGTGTGAGCATCTTTTCTATCATATCAGGTTTCATATTTATGCATGGAAGAAAGATGCATTACGTATTTAGATTATAATTAAAAAACTAGTCAATTAGTAAAAGATTAATGCTAATCCATTCTATAAATTTATTAAAATAAATTGAAAAGTCTAACCAAGAATTTTAAAGACATGCAACTCAGGTATCTGCTAACGCATACAGAATTGTCGATGCAATTAGACTGGTTAATTACTCAAGTATATTTCTAGCAGTAGACAGTTTGCCGAAGCAGATAAACATGGCAATGAACCTGTAGAAGGCCTGATGTTATCAGAAGATTTTTTTTTTTTAATTTTCAAATTTTGCTCACTTGTCACCTTTCATGCAAATCATCTGAATTGTTTGCAATAATTCTTTTTCCATATTTTAACTCTATAAATCATAATATTACCACTTAATGGATTCTGTACATATAGACTGAAACGAACCCCTACAATCAGTAACTTTAGATTAAGCTCCTAACTTACAAAAACATAGCCAAGACCATGGGTATTGCTAACAAA